TTAGCCTTTGTCCTCCTTCATTTTGTACTCCAAGGCCAAATTTGCCAGTTGCTCCAAGTATCTCTTGACTTCCTACTTTTACATTCCAGTCCCCTGTTATGTAAAGGACATCTTTTATTGGCATTAATTCTAGAAGATTTTGTAGGTCCTCATAGAACTGGTCAACTTCATCTTGTTTGGCATCGGTGTTTGGTGCACTGACTTGGATTACTCTGATACTGAATGGTTTGCAGTGTAAGTGAACTGAGATCATTCTGTCGTTTTTGACATTTCACCCAAGCACTGCATTTGGGACTCTTGGTTGACTATCAGGGCTACCCCATTTCTTCCAAGGGGTCTTTGCCAATAGTGGCAGGCACAATGGTCATCTGAGTTAAATCCACCCATCCTGTCCATTTTAGTTCACTGATTCCTAACATGTCCATGTTCACTCTTGCCATTTCCTGTTTGACCACATCTACTTCCCTTGATTCGTGGACCTAACGTTCCAGGTTCCTATGCAATACTGATCTGTACAGCATCGGACTTTACTTTCACCACCAGACACATCTACAACTGAGTGTCATTTCCACTTTGGCCCAGCTGCTTCATCCTTTATGGAGCTCTTGGTAATTACCCTCTGCTCTTCCCTAGTAGCATATCAGACACCTTCTGACCTGGGGGCTCATCTCCCCGTCTCATATCTTTTTGCCTTTTCATACTGTTCATGGGGTTCTCGGGACAAGGATGTTGAAGTGGTTTGCCACTCCCTCCTCCAGTGGACCACGTCCATCTTTGGTGGCCCTGCATGCCACGGCTCATAGCTTCACTGAGTTGTCCAAGCCCCTTCACCAGGACAAGGCTGTGACCCACGAAGGGGTGGGTGGTTTACATGATCTCTTCTTTGCTCACTCAAGGGTGATGGTCAACTGCAAGCAATGTGGTTCTGCTGATCGAGGCTGGGTCCTTACATGCTGTGATAACCTTTGTTCTAGAATAGCTTCAGCTGCAATATTTCAATGTTGGCTTCTTGGCACACTCTGACCAGCTCTATTCCAGGTCAGTCTATTTGGAAGGTTAATAGGGTTGATTTTCTGGTGACAATTACTGATTGTGTGTGCGTGTCTTTGTGTGTGTGTATGTGTGTGTGTGTGTGTGTGTGTGTACGCATGCTAGTATAGAGGCAAAAAAGTCTGAAATCTTTTTATCCCTCTACATTTCTGCAAATGGCATGGTTTTGTTTACAAATAGATTGGAAATGATTAAGAACTTAATAAAGTCATTGTTCATGTTAGAAAGAATGAAAATAAAAATAGAGGAGGATTCTAAGCACCCTTCTGTGTGAAGACTTGTGGGGACAGATGAAGCCAGCAGGATGAGGATATGTGTGGAAAGCTCAACTTTTTTTGTGACTGAGGAAGCTGGCAGAAATAAGTGAGTTATCTCTGAAATATGTAAAACTTTCTTGTATGTAAATAGAGTAAACTCTGGTGACTCTGCCATCTGTGAGAGCGTAAGAGTTCTTGGAAAATGACTCATTCAGTTAAGCAAAGACATGAAACCAAATTTGCATAGTAAAACTACGTGAGTTACAGAGAATCTAGAATGCTGGGTATCAGCACATACTCCTGCTAACACGGTGCTTAGGGTAGTTGTGGAGTCATGGAAAAATTAACAGATACTACACAAGTGGATGAGAAAATTGCTCATAGTGGGAACCACTCTTTGAAATTGACTTGATTTAGTTGGTGGGACTAAATGTGGAAGACCTGTTATTGTTGTTGTTCAGTAGCTAAATTGAATCTGACTCTTTGCGACCCCATGAACTGCTGCACACCATGCTTCCCTGTCCTTCACTGTCTCTAGGAGTTTGCTCAATTCATGTCCCTTGCTTCGGTGATGCCATCTAACAATTTCATCCTCTGCCACCCCTTTCTTCTCTTGCCTTCAATCTTTCCCAGCATCAGAATCTTTTCCAGTGAGTCAGCCCTTTGCATCAGGTAGCTAAAGTATTGGAGCTTTATAAGCTTCAGACGTTAATTTCACCACCAGACACATCTACAACTGAGCGTCATTTCCACTTTGGTCCAGCAGCTTCTTTCTTTCTGGAGCTGTTAGTAATTGCCCTCCACTCTTCCCACCAGCATACTGGACACCTTCTGACCTGGGAGTCTCACCTTCTGGTGTCATATCTTTTTGCCTCTTCATACCGTTCATGGGGCATCACAACAAGAATACCAGAGTGGTCTGCCATTGCCTCCTGCAGTGGACCATGTTTTGTCAGGTCTCCCCACTATGACCCATCTGTCTTGGGTGGCCCCGCAGGGCAAGGCTCATAGGTTCATGGAGTCATGCAAGCCTCTTTGCTACATCAAGGCTGTGATCCGTGAAGGAGTGTAAGGATCATTTAGTTCAACACCGTTTTGTCAATTAAGCCATTAAAGAAAGAATCCAACTTGAGGATGCACTTGTGATTGCCAGGAGGAAGGATGGGGGGAAGGGATAGTTAGGGAGTTGGGATGGACATGTACGCACTACTCAGTTTAAAATAGATAACCACCAAGGACCACCTGAATAGCACAGGAAACTCTGCTCAGTGTTATACGGCAGCCTGGATGGGAGGGGAGTTGAGGGGGAATGGATACATATGTATGTACGGCTGAGTCCTCCTTCTGTCCACCTGAAACTATCACAGCATTGTTAATTGGCCGTGCTTTGGTGCAAAATAAAAAGGTAAAAAAAAAAAAAAAAAAGAATCTGAGGCCCAGAAAGACAGTTACCAGGAGGACACAGAGAACTTGAGGCAATGCTAGGACCAGACGCCATCTTCATGGCTGCCTTCTGGACGTGGGAGCTGATTCCCGCTGAGAAAAACCCTGTGCTGATTTTAGTGCATCTCCACAGTGCTTAAGGCTTAAAATAATTATCCCATCTCCTCTGCAAGCTCAGGAGTTTATCAGGTTGGGTGTTCCGGGCACTCTATCTGAGCTTTTTATATCCAGAAAATTGACATCTTGATGGTTTTCATGGGATAAGGTGTTTAAGATATTTTTCATGAGATTAGATACTCAAGGCAAATCACAAGGCTGTGTTTTTCCAAGTGATCTTCTCAGATGATGACTTTTCATGTGTGCTGTTTAATGCATTGACATGTCTTGAGCTGTAGGACAGAGTAATGAATTCTCCAAATCTGTGTTGAGATGGAAATCCTGCCCTCATTTTATGGAGATGCCTTTGTTTGATGTCTTCAGCTTCTCCTACAACCCTCTCCTTCCTCTGAAAAAATGAGGGACAGTGTCCTAGGAAAGTTGACATGTTTCTGCTCATTAATTGGGGAACTAGTTGTCTTTCTGGTAAAAGGAGAGCTCTGCATCATAAAACCAGTGAGCTAAACTGTTTTGCTTTCATTGCCCCCAAAGTTGCAAAAATAGACAAACAAATGGAATTCAAAGTTTCTTCTGTTTACCTAATGTGAATGTAAAATTGAATATTTCTGAGATCTAAAACTGTGGTAAAATTTTAACTTTGTCTGCTAAAGGGAGACAGCGGTTCTGGTAATCTAAGTGAAAGTCACTCAGTCGTGTCAGACTCTTTGTGATCCCATGGACTATACAGTCCATGGAATTCTCCAGGCCTGAATACTGGAGTGGGTAGCTCCTTCTCCAAGGGATCTTCTCAACCCAAGGATTGAACCCAGGTCTTCCACATTACGGGCGGATTCTTTACCGGCTGAATCACCAGGGAAGCCCAAGAATACTGGAGTGGGTAGCCTATTCTTTCTGCAGGGGCTCTTCCCGACCTAGGAATCGAATCAGGGTCTCCTGCATCGCAGGCAGATTCTTTACCAGCTAAGCTACAAGTGGAGTCTAAAAACAATGATCAGTTAGAATCATTTTCAGTTTGTGTTTGGAATTGAGTATATGCATAGTTTGGTAAAAATGAAAATTTCCTAATTAAATTTTGTTTGGACTGGAATTAAAATTTGTCCTTATATAAATGGCATCACCAATTCAATGGACATGAACTTGGGCAAACTCCAGGAGATGGTGAGTGAGGGACAGGGAGGTATGGCACGCTGTCGTCCATGGGGTTGCAAAGATTTGGACATGACTTTGCGAGTAAACAACAGCAACAAATTATTGGAGAATCAGAGTGCCTCGGACCTTACTGGTATGAACATAGAAACTATTCGGGGAGCCAGGAGAATAAGTACAGAGACATGAGGACATTGGAGTCGTATTTCTAGATTGAAGCCTTGAATTGTCCATAGTTCTCAAGCAACTCTAGGCAAATTTCTTAATCTCATTTCCTATTGTGTGCAATGGGGATGCTAATACTACACACCACAACAGAATCGAGATAATTTATACATAGCACTTAAAAGTACCTGGTACTTAAGAGTCTTGAGAGTCCCTTAGACTTAGGGAGTCCCTTAACTAGGAGATCAAACCAGTCAGTTCTAAAGGAAATCAATCTTGAATATTCACTGGCAAAACTGATGCTAAAGCTCCAATATATTGGCTACTTGATGCGAAGAGAGAACTCATTAGAAAGACGCTGATGCTGGGAAAGATTGAGGGTGGGAGAAGGGGGTGACAGAGGATGAGAGGGTTGGATGGCATCAGTGACTCAATGACATGAGTTTGAGCAAACTCTGGGAGATAGTGGAGGACGGGGAGCCTAACATGCTGCAGTCCACGGGGTTGCAAAGAGTCGGTCCTGACTTAGTAACTGAACAACACCAGCAGCTTCAGAAGTTGTTGACTCTCTGGGCAGCTGGGCTCAATGGCCCACTTAGTCCCTTGAGGGTGGGAGTGGGCTCCTGTAACAAGGTGCCACAGACCGGGGGGCTTGTGGATAACAGGAGTTTCCTTCCCACAGGCCTGCAGGCTGGACGTCTCAGGCGGAGGGGCCAGCACGACCAGGTTCAGCGAGGGTCCTCTTCCAGGCTGCAGATGGAGGGCTTCTGGAGCCTTCCATGGCAGAAAGAGGGTGGCAGCCTCCCGGCCTCCTTTCTGGCGTTAGTTCTGGCTGCGCTGCGTCCCTGTTGCCGGGTGGGCTTTCTCCAGCTGTGGCGGCCCCTCTTGCTGCGGAGCACACGCGTGTGGGCTCACAGGGTCAGGGGCCCACAGGCCCAGCTGCTCTGTAGCATGCGGACTCTTCCCGGACCAGGGGTCGAGGCTCGTCCGCTGCACTGGCCGGCGGGCTCTCGTCCGCTGAGCCCCCAAGGGCATCCTGGTCTCTTCCAATGGTGCCGCTAATCCCTCTCACAAGAGCGCCAGCCTCAGGACTTGGTTGTCTCCTAAAGTTCTGCCTCCAAACACCATGACCATGGGGATTAGACTTCCGCGTGTGGATCTGGGGGAGGGGAATACAAACATTCAGGCCATCATACCCCCTAACCTACTCTTTCTCCTTTAAGGTTTTACTGTTGCTCTTCTCCTGTTTGATTTTTTGTTTTGTTTTGTTTTTAGACTAAACATGTGTGCTAGAAACTCATCTGTCTTTTTTTTTTTTAATTTCTGCATGAAAGAGAAGAATATTTGCCTAGTTGAGATGAGGCAGAGAGGATAGTTACATAGCCCGTTTCTCTTTATGTATGTATACATGTGTGTATGTGTGTATGAGTCTGTCTGTCTATCATCTCTCTTTCTATCTAGGAAGGTCTTATTCTTTGAACTAGTGATAACATCTTACTGGTTTCCTCACTGATTAATGAGTTAAATAAAATCCTTAACATATAATAATTTTATACCAATATCAGAGTCATGGTTCTATTTCCCTTAAAAATGACCTTTTAACAACCACAACTAAGAACACATTTTCTAAACTGATAAAGAGGAGAAGAAATTAGAAAAAAAAAAAAAAGACCCACACCCACAAAAAATGGCCAAATCCATGTTTTTGCTCATGTGTCAAAAATAACTCAACTCTGCATTCTTGGCTTACTCCAAATTAGAAGACAAGGTCACACCTATTACCAGGAAAGCTGTGGCAACTTTTTTGTTGGTTTGCTTTTAAATTCGGTATTCGTGTGTGAGTTACGTCACATGAAAATCTGTAGAAGTGTGGTAAATTTAAGATGTACATTTCAAATCTCTTAATACAAACATGAAGCCATAAGCAACCAGGGGGCATGAAAGCACTCTTTATTGAACAGTCAGATGCGCATTTAGTTGGCGAGTCTGTAGTTGACATGGATCTCTGGTTTCACGTCACAGACGATGCTTAAAAGCTCATTGATCACACTTTCCATGGACTTGCTGCAGCTTGCATGCAGTTCTTTTATCTTCCCTAGGGTTTGCACTTCTATTTCTTCTAAGACATCGCTCTGAGAGCCCATTATCTACCAAAAGAAAACAGAATTCACTACGCTGTACATCATTTTAAAATTTACTTGTTTTGTAAGTTAAATTCCATTTGGATTATCTTTTTTTTTTTCCAGAATTTTCTCAGAGAATGGATAAGGTCACCAACGCTGTGAGTGGGATGGGTAAACTTTTCTAAAAAATACATAATCTGCAAAAAAGGTCAAAGCTGAATCACTATGCTGTACAACTGAAACTATATTGTAAATCAACTATTAAAAAAAAAGGAAGCTGGCCACAGCAGGTGACTTCTAAGTTGACCTTCACACAGTACAGATTGAGGGCAAGTTCACAATCATTATATTAATACCATGCTCAGAAGTTTTTTTTCATCTATTTACGATCGTTTCCACTGACTTCCTGTGTCCTACTTTCTGAATTAAAAGTCTGGCAAATAAAGTTGAAAGACATCATTAAACCCATTATTGCTGGTCTTTAAAGAGCAAATAGCTGGTTTGTGAATTTTTAAAATACATTATCTGAACTCTTTAAATCTGTCTTTTTAGGAATATACAGCCACAATATGCCCCATAAGATACCTTCACAAGCCCAGATATATCATTTATTGTGTGTGTTCAGACACTCAGTCGTGTCCAACTCTCTGTGACACTATGGACCATAGCCTACCGATTCCTCAGTCCATGGGATTCTCCTGACAAGAATACTGGAGTGGGTTCATTTCCTCCTCCAGGAGATCTTCCCGACACAGAGACTGAACCCATGTCTCCTGCATTGACTTCAGTTTTTTTAACAGGGAACCACTTGGGAAGCGCATGGGTAGGTATATTCGATGCATTTTTGATTTCAATAGTTTCCACTTGCCATGGGTTTACCAGAAATTAAGCCCAGTGTAAGCTGAAGAAGACCTGTACATGTTGGTTTAGTCCCATTACAGCTTTAGACTCAGTGTAACTTATCTTTCTGGTTGTTTTTTCACTAACAGTGATCATCAGTATTTCCTATCGTCTCCTCTCTCTCTTAGCTTCTCTGTCAAATAATGATATGATTGAAATATAATTTCCATGAACAGTATGAAAAAGCAAAAAGATAATACCTGAGGAGTTACCAATTTAAAGAGATTCTGCGGTGAAACCCTTTGTAAGGTTACCCTTTGCTAGAGCAAACAGTCAGCTCCTAATTGGTCTCCTCTGTCAACTCAGCGTTTCTTGAACAGGGGATTGTGAAGGCAATACAGCTGGCTTTTGTTTGTTTGTTTTTCTCTTCCCCGAGTGTTTGGGGAAAGCATGCATTTAATTTAGTCCAGGAGACTCCAGTGATGATTGACTTTCACTTCAAGGTTGTTAGACTGTTCTAAATTCTAGAATCCAAATGATCTTTCTGGGTCCCAAATTTGAAATCAAATGTCACTGAGGCATCAGGTTCAAGTTCTTTTCTGTTTATAGTTCAGTCAACTGGGTCTTTCTAGTTCAAACAAAATCATTTTGAAGTGATACAGCTTCTAAGACATCAAATAGCTTTTATAAAATAGCATTTTGATAAGTGTATACACAAGAAGCACAGACATGTGAATGGAATTTTCCTTGCTACAAAGATGTTGAAAAATAATAGAAAACTACTTACCAAAGTAGTTCTACCAAAATTAAAAATTTCCTCTAGATCCAATATTGGATTTTATACCAAACTCAAAAAAAAAAAATTACCATTACTAAATTCAATGTCTTAAGTAGTGAAAAATTTAAAAGACACACTGTTATAAAACTACAATATTACCTATTTTTTTTGGAGAAGTATTAAAAATAGTAAATATTAGGCTAGATTACTGCAGCTGTCCCATTGGACTTTGGAAATTTTCATCTCAGCCTTAGGATCTTTATTTTTTAAATGAGAGGTAACATCAAATAGTTAACAACCTATTTGATGGGTTTGTTGTAAAAAGTCAACCAGATTTATGAGTGCAAAGTGTGCAGAATTGTAATACCCTCAAAGTGAGCCATAAATGTAATTTTAAATTTTCTAGAATTGTATTTTAGAAATCGGGAAAATTAGCTTGAACAATATTTGTATGTAGCCCAATATAGCCATGCTATTATTTTAATGTAAAATGTAAAATTATTGCATTATTGTTTGTCATGACAAACCTAGGCAATGTATTACAAAGCAAAGCCATCACTTTACCGACAAAGGTCCATCTAGTCAAAGCTATGGTTTTTCCAGTGGTCATGCATGGATGTGAGAGTTGGGCCATACAGAAGGCTGAGCGCCAAAGAATTGGTGCTTTCGAACTGTGGGGCTGGAGGACTCTTGAGAGTTCATTGGACAGCAAGGAGATCCAACCAGTTAACCCTAGAGGAAATCAATCCTGAATATTCATTAGAGGACTGATGCTGAAGTTGCAGCTCCAATCCTTTGGCCACCTGATGAGAAGAGCCGACTCACTGGAAAAGACCCTGATGCTGGGAAAGATTGAGGCCAGGAGGAAAAGAGGGTGACAGGGGATGAGGGGCGGCATCACTGACTCAATGGACGTGAATTTCAGCAAACTTTGGGAGGTAGTGAAGGAGAGGGAAGACTGAGGTGCTGCAGTCCATGAGGTCGCAGAGAGTCGGGCACGACTGAGTGATTGAAGAGCAAGTTCCTGCAACCCGGCGTGTATTTCATTTATAGAATGTCTTCATCTGGACTAGTTGCACTTCAAGTGCTTGGTAGCTGCGTGAGAATGACCATTGTTTCTGACAGCTGTAGGGACAGGACGACAGGTGACAGCTACCAGCATTCGGTGTATTCTTAATGTGCTTTGTTGAGACAACATAATTTTCTGAAGATGTTTATTATGAAGTGATGTTTAGCACAGAAGCTTAGCACTGAGCAAGTAATCAGCAAATGTTAGTAATAATTATTATGATTTATCACTGTGTTACTTGCACTTTAAAATTTGTATAATCCATCTTAAACTTTCAGAAATGTTGGAATACCCTTTTAATAACCCAAACTCCTGTATTTCATCCTGTATAAGTAAACATATTATTTCTGAGTTTATTTGATCCACAATCATTTGAGTTTCTGCAGTATTTCCTAGACAATATGATACCTTGACTCACTACACACCACTTTATTTTATTTCTCAAAAGATTTCTTATAGTTTTTTAAATTTTATTTTTAATTGGAGGATAATTACTTTACAGTATTGTGATGGTTTCTGCCATACATCAAGATGAATTCAATGTGGACAATTTTAAAAGTCTTTATTGACTTGTTGCAGTATTGCTTCCATTTTTTTTTTTTCTCCTGCCATGAGGCATGTGGGATCTTAGATCCCCAACCAGAGGTGGTACCTGACCGCCCTGCATCAGAAGGTGATGTCTCAACCACTGGACCACCAGGGAGAGCCCCATGTACCATTTTAAATGGTTTTCCTTGGGAAGAACTCCATTTGTATCTGAAGATTGTGCTGGTTTAAGCCACGCAGGAGTTACATGAATGAATGCAAGCTCTACAAGGACCAGGGTGAGGGCTATCTCATCCACTGATGAGTTAAATTGCCTCGAACGCTGTCAGGCACATAATAGATGCTCAATGCGTATGTTGAACGGAAGACAGTGAGTGGTTCACCAGGTGTTACAGGAAACTCATTACCTGCGCTCTGTTGCTCTGGCTGGTCAAAGCCTGCTGTTTGAATAGCTGGGACACTGGGTAAAATAGAAGTGGATAGTTACGTGATACACAGCAGTGCGTTTGGTCACAGGCTACCGTTGAAGGACTTCTCCTTGTGAGTTTGCAAACCTTCAGTGTTGAGACTGATGCGTATAGCTTTACAACTTAATGACCAACCGTGTTGGTGAAATCTTTCAACATTCAATGCGTTTCTTTGTAAGTTGTGTTTCAGTTTAAGGCTAACAGGTTCAGTT